GGCACGGAAAAACACACTCAATGTGACGTCACACATTCAGATTAAAAAAAAAATTCTGAAATTTCATATCTAGGCTAGTTTACGTATTTATTTAATGGATGGACGTATCCAAAAATATAGGGAACATATAATTAGCACGTACTATATGATGTTAGGATAAATGTGGACATACACATACGAAAAATAAAAGCAGGTATGGGTACACAGATGTGTATTTTATCGACCCTTGAGTGATGATGGATTGAGTGTATAAAGGTGAGGGTGTTGATCTACCTCGTGGTTAAAACTCCAGCTGTTCTATCAGCTGGACAACATCACTGCCATGTAATTAAAATTTAGACAATAAAAGCCCCATTGGAATTAAAGTGTGCTCGCAATTTACGAATATAGAGACTGGCTTGTTAATTTAAACGCTGCCTCGTTGCCAATGAAAGTTTAATCATCTTAGAGAGAAAAAAATCATATAATTAATCTCAAACATTCGTTTAATCTCTTGTGGGCGGTTGTATACAATCCCTTAAGTGAAATTTCGCCCCCCCCCGCCCCCCCTTATTTCACACTGATTTACATCGCGAACAAAATTAAAATACCACAAGATTTTTTTAGAACCAACCACTGAATGCATACTTGTAGCAGTGACCAAAATGCATGTGCATGTTGCTTTAGGCGCATGCTGCGCTATCGCCATCTACTGACCAGAGTGCGAACTGTTAACTCTGAAGGGCACTCGGGCACGTGGGTTGTGTAAAAAAAACCCGTGCCGTTCAGTTAAGTTTCAGTTCAGTAGTTTCTTTATTTTTGGTATAGCCCTGTGAGCCATTCGGCTCTTGCATCGGGTGCAACCTCAACAAACAAAAAAAACACGAACAAGAAAAACATCTTCAAGTGACTATGTGTGACTGTGCAAATAGAAAATCCATGAAAAAAACATCAAAATATTCCTGAAAAAAGCACCGTACACCAACGCTGTGTGCAAAAAATCCCAGTGGGATGCAAGTCAAACAACAACAACCAGATAACTCAATTTTAAACCGCCACTTCTTTCAAATGTTCTTGCCGTTGGTTTTCACACCTGATGATGACTGCTTGTGTTGCAGTCGAAACGTCGTGAGAATGTTATTGTTTTATATATATTTTATTATTTTATTGTTTCCCTTCAACGTGACTTATACCGAATCAACCAAGAATATAAAACAATGTATGTTAATAAATACATAGGTTTGATGACGCATAGTTGTACTTACGTGTCGGTGCTTAATTTGTATTTCGATAATTTACCTTCTAAAAAAAAATCTGACCGTGACTCGCACCCCCAGAAAGGGCATTTCGCACTTTAAAGGCACGGTGCGTGCGTCCCAGGTTAAGAACCACTGACTAACGCTATACAGATTACAGAGTTCATTGCCTCTCAGACAGGCTATGAACGGGCAGCATGAAGAGCAGGGAGACAGGAAATGGGACACGATATTAAAGGAAGGCATAGGAGATGAAGAGTGGATGCAACTTTTCATTTAGTACAGCTGCGATATCCGATTACTGTACGGTATATTCTTGGTTCTTTCGGTAAAGTCACGTTGAAGGGAAACAATAAAATAAATATAAAACAATAAAATTATCACGTTTCGACTGCAAACAAGCAGTCATCGTCAGGTGTGAAAACCAACGGCAAGAACATTTGAAAGAAGTGGTGGCTTGTATTTATTTATTTTTAAACGTTAGCACCACGGATAGCGATTTGACAGTTTAGATGGACGAGTCCATCTATGTTCGGAAAAGAGGGGGGAGATGAAAAATTAATGTATGCTGTTTGAAAGCCACCGTAAGCGTGAACAATCAATTAAGACCCGAAACGTCGTGATAATTTTATTGTTTTATATATTTTATTACTTTATTGTTTCCCTTCAACGTGACTTTACCGAAAGAACCAAGAATATGAATCACTGCAGTCACGAAAGCTTTAAATCAAAATTTACTGTACGGTAGTTAAGCAATTGATTACTGATTATCGTTTCCATTACTTGGCTCATCGAATATCGTTAATGTGAAAAATGTCTCTCTGTTCTCACCTGCGCTGTTGGACGGGGCTCGGTGATGTTTGGGGGGGGGGGTTCCCACCTTCAGGAGGGAGGTTTCTTAGGTGGTCGCCCCTTTTTAAAGCCCCCCCCCCCCCCCCCAAGTAATTTCTAGAAGATTTTGTTTGATCACACACGTAATAAACTCAAGTCGAGATTGTGACGGAAGCAAGAACCACGCTTCAATGGCTAGACCCCGCCTGCAGTTGTAAGTGGAAGCATTGGGAGAAAATGCTTAAGCCTTGGTCTTTGGATGGGCTATGGCTCGGACACCACTACTCCACTTCGCAGAGTGGGGTACATGTTGAACATCTGGAGGAGCATATTTAAACCGATGGCCAAATATTTATCTTGGGATCAGAAACGTGAACGTTACGCGTTGTATAATGGTCAGGCTTGCAATAGCCGAAGGAAAATTGAGAATATGAACATGCACCTTTGTGCAATTTATAGATGCCAATTACTTTGCCTTGGATTAATTTAAAAACAAAACATTATTTTCCTTCTAGTGTTGGCACCAATCTCTGGTCAGGAAATATTGAGTTATCTGTTTGAACGCACCATTTTTAGGTGCGACCACGTAGGTTATTATATGCTGATGTAAATTACTGAACGCAGCGACTTCTCCTCTTCACATCCGTCCCTTCTGTTTTGCAGCGAGGTTTATGCATTTCTGTGTAACGTAAGGTGATGCAAAAACATGTGGGTTGTCTTTTGGCCCTCCGGTGTAGTATCAAGTTGTACCACGTATCGCTCCACGCGCAGGCAGCTTGACGAGAAACTGAATCCTGATGCACCAAGCGTGCGAGGTGAAACGTGATATATGCTCAACACGTGGCACAACCGGAAAAGATATCGAAGACTCGACAGCACAACGGCGAACACTTACGCTGTGGATTGTCGTTTCTAATTTCGCCTCCCCCGTTTCTTTATGTTTTTAATAGCATGAAATTACAGAGTAAAATATTGACGCTTTATTTTTTTAAATGAAACTTATTGTAATGTTAACTTTTATTAAGCATTCTTCAGATGTACTGCCTTAATTGGCAAATGTCTGTTCAAGCCCTTGGCATTTACATTGCATTCAACATAAGCGTGAATAAAAGTTTAACTATAAGTGCACAAAATAAACACAAGAGGTACGTATTTTCCATAAGTTCATTTTACAGTCTGATCGACGTTAAAGGCAAGTGTCCGACACATAAGAATTACAATATTATGGTGATCACGTGAACTGTGTAACTCAAACTAAAGTACCAACCAAAGACAGATTAAACTCTACACAAAGTGATTTTTTTTCTGGGTTCCAGAAGATAATCGCTTGAAAATAAGCGAGGCAATGTGTTTTTAGCAAAAATGGCAATTATCATATTCTGCCACTTGAATGATCACATACACTGTGTAAAATGTGTTATTCTAATGGATAAAAAAAATACATCCCAACACGGCTCAGTCAGATTTACTCCCTAGTCACGCATAATCAGGATACATTTTTCTAGGGAATAAACAATAGTTTGTAAAAGAACAATCAGAAATAATTACCACAGGGCTATCGTCTCAAGAGATTACTGCACATGTGCATCAATCAATCAACCGCGCATTACACCACAATAGGCACCAAATCACACAAAGGACAAAACCGCTCCCATTATAGGTGTGACTACTCACAACAGCTGTTAATTTCACTTTCCAGTGTTACAGAAAACGAGACAAGAGTCAAGGGACCGAACGACAGCGTTAAATCACAACATGCAAGCGCCAGCTTATATATCTTGCTCCCCAAGGCTTGTTACGGAGCAACAATAGGGCTCGTCGTTGCAAGGTTTTAGCTCTATAATACAAAAGCAAGGGATCGGGTGTTATGGGAAGGTGGCTTTGTGCGACTGGAGAATAATATCCTATGTTCAAGTATTCAGCGGGCACCTACTACGGATTTGAGCCGGGGTTTCGCACCCAGAATAAAATGCTTCTCACATGTACCCAGTTTGGTGAGCTCAATCCAGTGCACAATTACTTCACTGAAACCCCCAACACCGACAGTGGAATTTGGGGTCAATGTGACCACCACAGGAACTTCGTGACATGAATGGCATCTGAGAATTAAAAAAAATCTTCTGCAAATTTTCTGCAAGAAATGCCCTCCAGACGTGGGAAAGAAACCAATGAGCAGACCCCAGGGGAACGCTCAGTGATGGTTTGTGGTATACAACTTCTACACTAAACGCTCAATGATCATGAACAAGTTCAGAGCCAAAATGGTTGTTAAATGGGATTGAAGGATTAAATCACTCACTATTGATTATAATTTAAGTGACAACCCCATACACTGCAATTGTCAGTTGTGTGCTGCCGTTAAAAAAAATATATAGCATGTGCATCATCAGAAATAAGTGACAAGTGAGTCGACAAATCAATTACACCAGTTGGTGTTAAAGACAAGCTTGTCACTGAATTTCAAGTCAATTGAGACTGCTGGAGATGCTACTTATTAGGAGGCTGCTTAATTCAAGTGCAACATTACGGAACATGACACTTCTTCTTTCGCGTGGCTGACGTAGATGCAGAGCAACAACCACAATTTCACATTCACGTGGTCAAGCCAGATAACCGCGTCGTCAGCAGCAGCAGCAGCAGAGTGCATCACTGTAATGGCTCTTTCGTATTTGTGGACTGGGCATTGCATCGGTACATGTTGTATTGCACGAATGGAATATAACAGACATCGGCAAAGTACGGCCCCCGGGCCGTATACGGCCCGTTGGGCTTTTTAATCCGGCCTGCCGAACTTGTCCAAATATTATTATTATTAAATTAAATTTTCCCCTTCTCCTGTAATGCCCCCATTTCCCCATTAGATGGCGCACTTTGACCGGGAGTTACATGTTTTTGTATTGTTCATGTTCGTGCAATTTGTTAAATTGCCTTGCAAATAAATGCTTTGCTACCTGCTAAAGGCCAAATCCTTTCATGTAATGATTTTCACATGTCATTTATATTAGAATCCTCTGTCAAATTTTAGAACCCATTGTGGCCTGCGAGTCAAAAAATTTGCCCGCCCCTGGTATATAATTACTCTACTGAAAGGGTCAGTTTCAGTCCTTATTGACGTCTACGATTAGGCATTGCATGCTGACAAGTGCTCGTTAACATTAAAAACTGCACACTCATTGTATTTCCTGTGGCTGTTGAACATAGAGAAATTTGTATAAAGATGCGATGAATTGGTCACACATTATGATGTGCTGCAACTACATAACATAAACTAGAAAATAATCTTAATGTTTTAAAAATAACTTCCATCAACTCTCAATGGCTGGGTTTTGAAAGCACACAGTTTTGCAAGGTTATAAAGTTGAATAAATCATCAATAACGGCTTCGTTAATGTCTGACAATGTTGCAGAAAAGGATATTGCATTTCTTTTAGTGCAATTTACAATAACGCACCGCTGAACAAAATGGCAGAAGAGTAACCAACACGCAGGCGCACTGCACACACAGTTCTTTTTCTATTTGCACTCTATACAGATCAATATAAATGCCATTAACAGATATTGAGCTCTGGGGTGTGTTCATATCAAAAACATATCCGATCACATTGATACAAAATTGTCAGAAGAGCACACCACGCCCAAATTTGGCCCAATGTCAAGGCGAAGATACGCGCTTCTAAATAACACCATGCCTGCTGGAATTGGGGTCCACGAAAGTGGCCCGTCATTGTAAACGTCCTGTGATTTATATTTGCTTCATTGCTGTACTTTATTTGCTTTGCTTATCATTTTGGTAACGCAGGTTACGCTTGCAAAACGAGACTTATCCCCGGTCTCTTGAGTTCTCACCGGGGTTTAACATACTACACTCGAAGCGTTAGTAGCACCAACAGAGCTATGCCTCGCATAAGCATAGCTGCATCTTGGAACATCGCATCCATCTGTGGTTGCTTTATGAGGAGGAATCTAAAAGAGAGGAGGCATTAGGTAGAAACAAAAAAAGAAAAAAATAGCGATAAAACTGTGACGTCAAACAAAAGCACACAAGTGCTACAACAGATGCTTCCCGCACTGCCCGTGACCCAGTAACCATTCCGTGAGAGGTGTATTCGTCCATCAGTCCACGTCCAGTGTGCTCCACGCTTCCTCACTGCGGACTCCTCCGTTGTCGTGTAGACCTGAAAATATGGCAGGGAAGAGATCCTCAAATGTAACTGAAACGGTTCGATGGCAAAAAGATAAATGATCAACTATTTGCACGTTGAAAAAAGTCGCTGCAAATAATTACCGATCTAATGTTATATTATTCACACTGTGAAGAATCCAGATACAAAACAGCAACTTATAGACAAACTAACATTGCATAACCTAACAAACATAACTAAGGCCATGGCTGAAATAAACATCACCTTATTTTATTTTTAAAAAATAACTATAATAAAATCGACTGTCATTAGCCTCATAATTGTAATGTAAATAATTTAAGAAAAATCACGCGCAAAAAAATCTCGAATGCGCAGTGCCTTCTCATCACGCTGTGGACATTGAATGCAATTGTAGGTCACCCTTGAAGTGTTAAAATTCGAGGTCCGTTACAAAAACAATATGGAAACCAAAGCCAATTAAATATCCAGGATGGCTCACCTTCTCTTCTGCTGAGCCTACTGCACTCGGCGCATCAAGGACGACCTGGTTAACTCGTAGGCGAGGAACAGCGCAGCGTTAGCCGGGAAGGCTCGGATGATGGTCGGGGTGAACCCGGAATAGAGAGCCATTATGCCTGGTTGGGGGACATGGGGACGAGGGCGACAAACGCAGAACGAGTGTGTAGCCACAGTAAACGTCCAATTAGTAGTGGCCACCACACACCTACTTACTAATTGCCTGTGTGGTTTAAGGTCGACTCAGCCACTATTGAGCATCTGGTGCGATGTGTAAACATTGCCACATGGGAGACAAAGGTGGCCGGGCGTGGTGCTGGCCATCCACCCCCTCGTGTGCCGTCGTGGCCTTCACAGGTGCTCGCTAACAGAACTTGCTCCTACAGTCTGTTAAGGCTATACAGAGGATATTTGTCTTTGTAGTTGAGTAAGTTGATGTGAGCTGGTGTGTGGGCGAGTCATCCAGTGGGTTACAATTTAACAGATTTTATGACGTTGGTTAACATTTCAGAAAGAAGCACTCAAAACAGACGGGCCTACCCCTTATTGTCCATACACCTGATTGTAAGCGTCGGCAAATTCTGTCGAATGATTGAAGACATCCATTCAACTTGCCTTAAGGCTGTGCTTTGGCTATCAGACCTGCACATTGACTCATGAGCTGCTATCCTGGTTCTTCTAAGATGTCCTTTGAAGCAGCCATCCTGGGATTTCTGAGAGTCCTCGTGGAACATTAAAAGTCCTGATTTTGTCAGTTGCATAAAAATACACCGCTCAAAAAAACACATTTACATTTCGTTCTCTCCTCTGACTTTGGAATGTGTTATTCTTCCCTTTGTGTCTGAGATTATTTTGTACCCAAGAGGTGGCAACCTTCGAAGTGAGTGACTGGACGAACGACTGGAAAAGTGAGCAGGCTAATTGGTGGGTCATTGAATGGGTAGATAAACGAGTAAGTGGGTCAATAAAGGTGTGTGCAAATAAGCAGATGGGCGAGTGAGTGGGCAGTTACGCGTGTGGGTAAGTGCATAAGGTGAGGAGCGGTCGTGCAACGGTTAGTGCGCTGCACTATGAAGCCAGCGGACCAAGTTCGATTCCCACTCAAGGCCAAAATCAGTGACAATTAGCTGAATTGGTCCTGGGCCTCTCCTAGGTCGACCCAGCCTAAAATTAGTACCTGATGCAATGTGTACACATCACCACTGGGGAGACAAAGGCGGCTGGGCGTGGTACTGGCCACCCACTCCCTCGTATGTCGTGACGGCCTTCATAGGTGCTCACTCACAACATTTGCCCCAACAGTCCGTTGAGGCTATACGGGGGGGGGGGGGGGGGGGGGATATTCGTCTTTGTCTAAGGTAAGCAAGAGGCTAAGTGGCCGAGTGCGTTTTTGAGTAGATATTCAGGTACCATCAGTACGGATGATAGAGGCTGTAGCGGCGAGGAAACCAGGCTGGCGGCTCGACATGGACATGACTTGTATGCGGGACTTCACGCTGTCCAAGGGGTAAACGACCACCCACAGGAAAACGCCTGCCATCCCGCCACTCACCAGGAGTGGGAATGCGCCTGCGAGCCCAACAAGCCACCAGCACAAGCCAACAGCACGAGGACAAAGTGCCTTTGTTAAAATGCCAAAAACCAGCAAGCATGCACAATTGATGTTTTCGTTAACTCATGACTTGATCAAATTACTATTAAACGCCACCAGTTATGATTAATCGGTGGGGTTATTTACACTGTAAGGCTTCACAGATGGAGTGGGAACGAATTAATACATTGGAGTGGACATTAATACATTGTTATGCGATATATAGCCAAGAAAAATATTTTTGGTTGGCTGTAGCGACATATGCCTGAAATCATTTGACACGGAGGTGGCGTTGTTAGAGCACACAAAGAGGGGAGCTTTCAAGTACATGAGATGCCCACTTGCAGGTCAATGTTCCTGCAAAAGGTAGTACAGTAATTATTTTGTTTATACCATTATGTGGAGAGTTTCATTGTTTTACCCATGTATGTCCAACAGTTTCTTTCCAGGCAATATCCACTTTTCCCCCATACATGAAAACGCATTGGTAAAACATCCCCAATACACAACCATCCTGAACAGTCATCATAGAATTCAGATAAAATACTTTTTTCCTGGCCAGACATAGGGATCAATATGATTACTTGCTGTACTGCATACAGTCGGCAGATGGGTATCTTACATAGGATACATCTGTGGGCATTTCACCAACCTCACCTGCATCCGAGTGCATTACAGACGTTCAAGGCTACCACATCCACCAGGTATAACTGGATACATGACTGAAATTTTTCATTTTTAATCATCATTGCTGAGTACAGGCCCAAAGGCCTAGAACCGAAGTGTCCAGCAATAAAGAGCATCGATTCCTGCATAGAAATTCATAAAATTGTTTCTGTCCTATGCCGAAGGGAGATGAACAGAGTATGGATGACGTTCGTGGGGAAATTTATTGTGGTAGCAATGGTAAAAGTAACAATAAAAGCAACTGAATGATGGAATCAGAGCGACTGGAGTTAATCAGTGAGTGTAGGAGCTTTAATAATATGTCCTGCTTTAAAACTACATTCTATAAAGCCGTCTTTGGTAGACATTAGGACTCGACACCAGCTGTGACAGAAGAACTAATTGATCAGAGGTGCAGAAAGCTTTGGTACAAAAAAAAACAAGCTCTTTCAATGCCTGAATATCTATATTAGTGATGTAGCCATTCCATGAGAATATACGACTAAATTGTCATGGTTGCAACACAAGCAGCCATCATCAGGTACAGAAGAGCTAAATTATGAGAGAGGGGAGACAGATAACCTCAGATGTATACACAGACACCCAAGTAGGGGGAACTGACACAGACACAACAGGGGACACAGAGAGAGAAGCATACCAGACAAACAGGGTTTAGCAAAATTTTTGGAAACCATGTAAAGCAACACAGACGGTCGGTCAAAACACAATTAACGCATAGTCCGGTTGATCACGCTATTTCAAAAGATTGCTAAATTGCAAGTAAAGTATGAAACTCAAACTACAGGCCGCACACACACACACAGACAACCAAGTAGAGTGAGCCAGCACAGAGACAAGCACACAGTAAAGTTGCCTTAAATAGGCAGAGAAGGTAAGGCTGAGTGACAATGGGACAAAATTAGCATGAGGTATGCATTGTCACTCAGCCTTACCTTCTCTGCCTATTTAAGGCAACTTTACTGTGTGCTTATCTCTGTGCTGGCTCGCTCTACTTGGTTGTCTGTGTGTGTGTGTGCGGTCTGTAGTTTGAGTTTCATACTTTACCTGCAATTTAGCAATCTTTTGAAATAGCGTGATCAAACGGACTACGCGTTAATTGTGTTTTGACCGACCGTCTGTGTTGCTTTACATGGTTTCCAAAAATTTTGCTAAACTGTTTGTCTGGTATGCTTCTCTCTCTGTGTCCCCTGTTGTAACTGTGTCAGTTCCCCCTACTTGGGTGTCTGTATATACATCCGAGATTATGTGTCTCCCCTCTCTCATAATTTAGCTCTTCTGTACCTGATGATGGCTGCTTGTGTTGCAACCGAAACGTCGTACGCTATTATGTTATTTTGTTATTTCTTATTTATACGTGACTTTACCGAAAAAAACAAAGAGTAATCCCTGCAGTCACGAAAGCTTCAAATCAAGTCTAAATTGTCATGGTTAAGCAGACCAATGTATCCGCTGAGAAAATGAACGGAGGGCACTAAGAACACACCAGCGACCCCGGTACATGCATACCCAGGTCGTCTTTGGTCTTGCCGGGTGGCGTGAAAAGTGTCTTGCACACCTCGTTGCCCCAGAAGAAGCAGAAGTAGCCCGGCATGTCGCGCATCCACGTGCTGCTGAGCCCATTATAAAGCCCCAAGAGGCCGTCGACACGGAGAACATTCCTCGTCACCGCCACGGCCGTACTGCACGAAACACACGGGGAGGGGGGCGCAGGGGTGGGGTGGTAGTCAATGTCATCATCACCTTCGTCACGATCATCGCCACGCTGGTGTTTGCCGTTTTGCTGCACAGCTCTCGGGTGTGTTCTGTAGCGCTCTGAAGCACTATGTTTTTTTTCGACGTGTCGCTGGGGTTGCTGGGAGAGGCATAAATTAACTTGCTGAAGGAACTGTCAACAAGTGGGGTGAAACTTTGGACACTCCGTGCTGAACGGCAGGCGATAAAACAAGACGGCAAATCGTAGGGCCATCATCATTATTGCCAGTTTTATTAAGTTGGTGCCTTTTGCACGCAAGCCTCAACATGTTGCATGCCAAAACATCCCGAATAATGGCTCGGCAGTGTAACGTTGCGGTTTTTATTAATAATTAAATACTTTTGAATATATTTACTTGGATGCATGCTATTGTCATTCATAATGTGTGTTGATGAAGGTCAAAATAATGGAACAATAGTTGGTATCTTTTGGATCGACTAGTCCCTTGCCATAGGGGCTAGTTCGGCAAGGCCACAGCGCCGCTCGGCTGCACGGTGGAAAAGAGACACCACAGGCGCCTACCAATCGGCCATGGTGAACACGGTCTTGCCGGCTGCGTGCATTTCCCGCATGGCCTGCATGCGGCACTTGACGAGCTCCAAGGGGCAGATGACGATCGCCGTGAACCCGGCCGCGAGGGAACCGGCTGTGGCCATCTGCATGTTACTGTGCGGAGCACGTGCAATAAAACCAAGAGGTTAATATATTACACTGTGTCTCATCCATCATCATCGTCGTCGTCGTCTTTATCACTGGCAGACTTGGCAGCATGTAAAGGTAGACACTTGATATTTGCGTGAAAGTACATGGACAGCCCTTTTGTCTAACCGCTGCTGGATGAGGGCCTCCCGATACCGTGTGGGTTGTGGTGGTGTTTGACCATATTTCACCACGCTAGTCAATGTGGGTTGGAGAAGTTGGGAGCTTGGTAAAGAAGAACAATTTACTTCGCTGAACTGAAGGGAACGTAACCTCGCAGCAGCCTGCAACAGCTGCTTTGTGCATGCTGGTCGCCCATCCAAGCACTATCGAGGCTCAACCCTTTTCAGCTTCTGAGGTTCCACGAAGTTTGGCGCAATCCGTTTCAACATATTCCACGTACAATATACTCACTTGCACTTTGGGCGGTGCTAGTGAGAGCACTTCTCTCATGTTTAGAAACCACATGAACATGCTGAAACAGCACACAATGGTCTGTACAAGTGGGCCAGGAGCCCACTTGCTGTACTGCAATCATCTGGCCACCGCAGGGCTCAACAGGAATGGCATTCTCACAAATATACTGTATATAATACATCAACTCGATGTGCTATGAATAAAGGCCATTGTCCGAATGTCACCTATTACATATTCCTTATTTTAAGGCCACGCTGCTATTTACAAATGTGACGAGTCTAATCTTAAATTTGCGTGTGAACTATTGGCAATGCAGCATCGTCAGATTACTTGCCAAGAAAGCGCTGCATAACAGGCATGCGCCACCATGCCAGGCATAATAAGAGACCTATGCAGGGACTGGCCCTGACCATAAAAATGTGACCACAACGGACAAAGACCACCACTCATTTAAGCATGGAGACACTGACTTTCTTAATACATGGATGCTACCATTTTTGCTATACTTTGTTTATATATAATCTTACAGGCCATGTATAGTAAAAGTATATCACCAAAGACACAACGTATTCCCGCACTCTGTTGGGGCAAGTGCTGTGTTGCGAAGCACTGATAAAGGCCGACAAGGTGCACAAGTCTAGATTTAAAGCTTTCGTGACTGCTAGGATCCATACTCTTTGGTTCTATTGGGTAAAGTCACGTAGGTGAAAATAAAATAACAAAAAATAATGACGTTTCGGCCACAACACAAGCGGCCTTCATCAGCTTAAAGGTCGTGATCTAAGCGTGGCTTCTTCCACTCCAGCGCTGTCCTCCAGACAGTCTCGTCCCTTCACCTGATGAAGGCCGCTTGTGTTGTGGCCGAAACGTCGTGATTTTTTGTTATTTTATTTTCACCTACGTGACTTTACCCAATAGAACCAAAGAGTAAGGTGCACAAGGATATGGTGTGGCCAGCACCACACCTGATCACCTTCGTCTCCCCAGCGTTAACACACTGCACTAGGTACTCATGCAGGTTCAAGTTGCCCCCTTAAGAGGCCAAAAACCAGTTTGGATAATACTCGCGCCACTATTATTTGTGGCTGGAAATTGAACCCAGTTCGCCAGGTTCAATGGGCAGTGCGCTATCCACAGTACCGCTGCTCCTCGACCACACACAAAAGATCCCCGATATAGCCTTAAGAGACTGTTGGGAGAAGTGCTGTTAGCGAGCACCTATGCAGGCCTCTTACCTGAGTCGACTGCCCTCCTGGAGGTGAGAAAGCCTTGCCACTAGGCGCTGGCAGAAGCCATAGCAGAGGAAAAGCATGGCATTCTCGCCGATGTTGGCGATGAGAGCGGGGAAGCTGCCACGGTAGAGGCCCCACATGCCCTCGGCGCGGTACGTCTGGCCCAGGCAGCTCACAAAGCCATTGTACAGCTTGGGAAAGGTCTGCATTTTCACCTTGGCCGTGTCAAATGGCTGCCCGCTGTAGACGCAGGCTATGCCACCTGCGGCCACACGACAGATTCATAACAAGTAACATGTCGGCACAAAGCGTATTGCGCCCGCTTTCACGGTGACGACTGGAACGATTGCTCTCGCATTAACTACAGTTAACTTTTCTACGAATATGGCCCTAAATTAATGATCAGCACCCAATGTAGTTAAACTCTGAAGAAAAATGTATCTAGCACAGAAGGTGGGTAAAACCAAATATCATGAAAATTAGAACTTAAACTAAAACTAACTTTTAAAAAAATTATATAGGAGAAATGTAATAAAACATTAAAATCTTATACAACATGGCTTCACACCCTTAAAGCACCTGCTGCACCAACCTTTCAACTGAAGGTGAGGTTTCAGTGGCACTTAAGGAATGATGTTTAATATTTGAATTGTAAGTCTGAGCAGAACTTTACAGTTGGTTAGTCGATACCTACAGACAAAAGTAACAGCATGCTGGCCGTGCAGGAGAACTGACCTGCCGTGCCCGCACTGGTGTCAATTAACGCCTGGATCAGAGGGTGAATCCCCATGGTTGCAGATCTGTGGGTGCAACAGGAAATGAATTGTCACTTATGACGCTGATGGTGCCCAGTCTCAAGTCCTGGGAGAAGCAGTGAGGACACGGAAGTAAGTTGAAAACATTGCTTGATGTGACTGTCAAAAGTGAAAGGTCCAGTCCTTGAATCAGCTGCTCACGCCAGTGCTGGCAGAACGGCCTCCACATGGAGGGGGGCTCTCTCTGGGTATTTGGCCTATCCTTCCACACTGGACATGCATCTGAGAATGGGCAGAACTAACGACACTTTACCCCACCACACGCGACCTGCCAATTGAATAACTGCAGCGTACCCTTTCACATTGCTGGATGGACAGGGGTGGAGAGATTGTTTCAATTGCTGCACCGGTTGATTGAAATGGGGACCTCTGGATAAGAAGTTCAGTGTGCTACCCATTACCCCATGGCAGCATCCAACAAGCACCTCCGATTAGCACAGTTGGCTATGTACTGTGTGAAAGGAGTTCAACCGCATACATGAATGCGAGTAAAAAAAATCATAAGTGCAGTGCCTACAATTTACATACTGCAATAAAGAATTGTAATGAAACATAATAGTGTTACACGATTGGAGAATCCTTCAGCAGCCGAATTGCTGGTTCATGAATGTTTAAAGTAGGTCCCTCTTCTTTGGTCCTCCTTGTGTCCACCCCCACAAACTCCTGATGGTCCAAAATGCTGCTGCCCCTATTTCTCACGTGACCAAATCGCACCCAACATTTTTCCTTTCACTGAATCCCCATCCATCCTTGCATTGCCTATACATAAAGTATAAACCTTGGTCATTAAAATCATCCACAACCCTGCCTGTCCCCTAAGTCACTATATGTGTTTTTTAATATATATAATTAAAATGAACTTAGGAAGTGTAATAATGAGTTGTTGAATTCTGAATGACGTTGCAAGTACATCTGTGCCACGTTGGTTTCTGTCCGGCAGTCATAGATATGTTAGCTGAAAGCCTGCAACCCACTCTGCAGCAACACATACGCTGTTAAGAACTGCTTCATTGGTTCAGCCGGAGATGGTAGAAATACGCAGAAGGCTGTTGTCCCATTCAGCAGAGGTCAGCTCTTTTATAACAAGAGCACATGAGCCCCACCGAAAAGACCTGTAATAATTCCACTGAAGAAATATCTTGCAAGAGTGTTGAGTCTAGTTAAAGACTGTTAATACACTTACGTTTTTTGTGGGCAAAAATGATAAAAAGCCGATTACAGTACCGGTTTGCCACAATTATCAAGAAATATGATGTGAAAGGCTGCAAAGTTAGGCTCAGGATGAATATGAGCAAAACAAAGTTGACACGACAAAGTTCACAAAACAACTAGCAATACCGATCAATGTATTATTAATTGCTGAATTAAACATTTATTTCGATTTAAAGCTTTCGTGACTGCAAGGATTCATCTTCTTGGTTCTTTCGGTAAAGTCACGTAGAATGAGAATAAAAGTAGAAGAAGGCTACTTGTGTTGTGGCCGAAACGTCATGAGAATTTTATTGTCTTATTTTATTTTATTGTTTTATTCTCATTCTACGTGACTTTACCGAAAGAACCAAGAAGGTTAAACATTTATTTCAAGATTTGCTTTGAGGGATGCAGCGTTTCCCTGAATGTGCATCTGCTGTTCTTTTCTCCGCTTGCGCAATAATCAGAATTTGAACTTGCACAACCTTTGACCTTGTGAAAGTGAGCTTTAGTGATCTATTAGCGGTCCCTATAAATGGGAGCTTGCTTCGCAGTATGTTGGCTCTGGGACACAAAATGTTTGCAGCAAACAGGAATATTTCATTTGTGCGGTAGTTTATGGATTCTTGAATAAAGGACGTGGCCGTATCAAAAACTGAAGTACATTTACAAAAACAATTTAAACGAGACAACTGGTGTAAAAGGCAAAAAAAACCGTGTTGCTCTAAGCCTAAGGTATTATGTAACCGTAGGCGGTACATTATGTACTGCACCGAGTAATTTTGAGGGGAGCTTCTGATTTAGTCCAGACTGACAGACGCGTGAAGTTTTCCATTGCTAATTTGGAATACTAAATAACACAGCACAAACGCCATCTGCATTAAAATACACTCGCAATATATTAATTTACCACTCGTGCATCAACTTTGACCAAATTTGCTAGATACTTCAAATGGTGCATCTCCATATAAAATTTATTCATTGTGAGATTTAAATGGGACACTGTAATTCAACTTTAAAGTGTTGGACGCATCAAGTCTGTAAATAGTGTCAACATATGTAAGCAAGCTTTGACCTTGCAGCCAATGCCATCTGACACCAAACCCTATTGTACATCCCAGACACATCCGCCACCGACACACCCGGTTCAGCATCTGTGACAGATGGTCCCTTGGGGGTGTGATTGCAATATTGTACCAGTGGTAAAATGAACTCGAATGATGCGTCCAATGTGCATTACCTATCCTGCACTGTAACAATTATTAATGATGAATTGCCCTTGAGATGAGAAAGCCTCGCCGATTCTCAAAACGTGTTTCGTGTTATTTTTGCGATGAGGGTTCGGATGGTTTTGGCCAATTCAATTTGGGTGTTTGGCAAATTTGAGAGAACCTGAGAACCCGTCACATGTATATGGGGTTAATACTCTAAAATCCACGTAGATGCGACAATCCACCGGTCTATTTCCATCTCCTGGCCAACTTGCAGTCCAAGGTTACAACACATGTTAAGATGTTAAAACATAAAAAAGGGTGAGAAAAAAAACCCTATAATTTTTTAAAAACTTTGTTACTGAAAAAAAAGTCCCATTTTGTAACAACACCCAAATATATTTATACGGACACATATAAGCACACGTGGCGTAAAAAGACAAGGGGGGATGGGTGGGTGGGTGCCTTGCCTGTGAGATTTGAAAGTTCACAGAGCATTGATTCAAGCGAGGCTGCCCTTAGGCTGCTGATGAGACACCACGTGGCCAAACCCGTCCCAGAGTTTGCTCCTCATGAATCCACGCTGCTGAAATCATTCACTCGGCCCCGTAGAAGGCCGTGGTGCGGCTGATCGATTGCGTCGCAAATAACTTTGATAATTACTTGTACAGAAGGTGTTCTCGTATTTTGGTGGGGACAGTCTCTTGCACCTCCAACGTACCATCCATCATACCTGTCAACCCATTATCAGTGCTGCCCTACTTTAACACAGACCAATGCAGACCTTATTGGTCACCCCGTGCCAATTATAAATGTCAACGCTCATCCTACAAAGTCCCATCACAAGGGAGAAACGCAAACAAATAGACAAATTAATGTTTTTTGCCCGCTGTACGCCGTATGGGACCCCCTGAAAACTCGATTTCCCTGTACAAGATTACGGGGTTTAAACCGTGTGGGGGTCGGCGGCTGTGATACATTAATCCCCCACGAACACTGCCCAAAAGAAGCGTGGCCAGATGCATGCCTTGTGGAATTCAACTTAACGGAGACTTAAGGATAGGAGCGTAAACGAATGACCCCAAGACGGACGTTCTCTGCAAGCCATCTGGCTACCATGAGAGATTCGTTCATGAGGCCATCCACATATACAAACACAGAGAGACAATTTCAACCGAGAAGATGGATTCTGGCTTAGCAATCATTGGAAGGATTCGATAAACCATTTCGGGTCTTAATTGATTGTTCACGCTTACGGCTACCATGAGAGATTCGTTCATGAGGCCATCCACATATACAAACACAGAGAGACAATTTCAACCGAGAAGATGGATTCTGGCTTAGCAATCATTGGAAGGATTCGATAAACCATTTCGGGTCTTAATTGATTGTTCACGCTTACGGTGGCTTCCCCCCCCCCTCCTGTTTTCCGAACATAGATGGACTCGTCCATCTGAACAAACTGTCAAATCGCTCTCCGTGGTGCTAACGTTAAGGAAAAAAAAACACCGCCACTTTTTTTCAAATGTTCTTGCTGTGGTTTTCACACCTGATGATGATTGCTTCTTGCGTTGCAGTCGAAACGTCGCGAGGATTTTATTGTTTTATTTTTTATTATTATATTGTTTCCCTTCTACGTGGTGACTTTACCGAAAGAACCAAGAATATGAATCTCTGCAGTCACGAGAAAGCTTTAAATAAACAAAATAGAATGCCACTTCCCCCCCTGTTAATAGCAGCGAAGGGCGATCGAAGTTGGCCTGGCGTGGCCATCATCTAGCAGTGGATAGATCACGGCCGACGACGACGATGATGACGACCCATCTACACGAGGGTATACGAGGAGACATCCACTGTCGTAACGAGGACATACGTACGCTAACCCCCCTACAGATACAGCGTGAAGGGGAGCAAGTAGTAAGTCATAATCCCATACAGTACCGCACTGTACAGGGGCGATCCATTCACAGATACCGCACTAAAAACAACGCGAATTAACATCGAGGGGGTAGAGAGGAAAAAAAACGACACTTTAATCCGGAGCATCTGACCGCACGTCTCCCAGCCATCCCTCGAAATCACGTTATCAAACCTCGTAACACTCTCCCCCTTGTAAGATGAGGAGGGCCCCCTTGCTTGCACAGCACGGCGATTCACTCAGCCGTCGTTGAGAAGACGGTCACTGTCTATGGGGTGGGGTGTCTACAAATGGATCTATCTTTATCATGGGTATTGGGGTGATGGTGGTGGTGGTGATGTCCCCCCCACCACCCCTGTGTGTGTGTACACAAGGGCATTGATTACCTTTGGTAGAATATTCTTCCGATGGAGGTAGGCGGAAACAAAACAAAAAAACACAAATAAAAAATAAGAGCAACGCCTAACACTGAAGTCTAACGCCGCGACGCTGGCTCCCAAACCCCGGCTCCTCTCTTCAACACTGAACCCTGTGCCACGCTCGATCCGCTCTTTGTACCCTCCCCTCGCTTCACACGATCCACACGATCCACACCGTCGTCTCTCTCTGATCGCGATCGCGCCCTGTCCGTATCGTCAGTCTCGCTCCACAGCTGCGACTACAGTCGCCTCCTCGCGGCATCGCTCTTTTAAACAACAACACCACCACCACCACACACGTGTGGCGAGCACTGTACCATGGGCCACTCGCTAACTTGACGCAAGTCGCTGGCCTTTACAACAACAACTACAACAACAACGCTCAATCGTACGGTGGTCAATGACGGAATGCTTCCCGATAACTTGTCCTGCCCCTCGCCTCTTCGCCGTCGACTTTATTCACTTACCCACCCACCCTGATGCACGTGGCCCCGTGCTCGCCGGGGTAGCGGTGGCCAGAGGGCTGGGGTAACGTCAAGCAACGTGATTGGTGAACCCCCCCACCACCCTGCCCCCCCCCACCACCCTGCCCCCCCCCAGGGGAAGCAGCTCACGTTGCTGGCATGTTGATGCCTCGGTGGGGCTGCGGGGTTGGTAGAACTAGAGAGTTAATAATTAACATTGAGTTCTGCTTGAGAAGCCCTCGACATTTTGGTCATTTAACTCGTTGAACGTATTGTCAGCATGCGCGGCAAGTTGTGGAGTTATTGAATTTGAAAGGCCCCCACAAAGACTCTCAACAATGTGTGGCTTATCTCGTCCATGGGTCCAGTCCAAAAAAAAAATATTTTACTTGTTCGTATACCGCATGAGATGTCTAAAACAATCGGACAAACTCATTTAAATTGCCAAAAAAAACTTTATTTAATCAGTATGTTATCACATAAGCCACTTTTAAAAGTAATGCAGAAACTGGTATCAGGAATTGTGTGCCACCTCCATTGGTACCCAATTCTGCTCTGGAATCTGGGACCCATTGGTTATTCGGGGGAGGTGGTCGGTTAAACAAATAAAAATGCCGTAAGTGATACTCTCCTTTGAATTGAAATGTAATTCAACGTGAGCGAAGTTAACGTGTAACTTAAAGAAATGTTATACAACTGGCCTGATGGTTGAGGGAGCGCACTGCGTTTGGGAGCCGGTGACCTGATGTTGATTCCCAACCACTGTGGTGAAATCTGAACCCGACCTCGGCTCCACTTTAATTCACCAGCCCGCACTGCCCAACGTGGTGAAGTATGGTCAAACACAATCCTTTTGGCCTACAGCGGCGTCCCAACACAAAATCACCACTGGTGTATTTTCCTGCTCAGCCTTTCTGCCCTGTCTGAAGAACCACGGTGGATCTATGTTTTTCTGTAAAAAGTTATTGGGGGGGGGACAAAACGTGCTTCGAACATCTGACAATTCTGAACTGATCAAGGTCCTATTATCCAAGGAAAGACACTTATAAAACTACTTTTTAATCAACGCAATCAAACTCGTAAATGCTAGTGGTGAACAGAGCTAAAAGAAGCCGATGATCGGGATAGCCAACCTTGATGAGACGCCCTCTACAGGGAAAAATGGAGATTGCGTTTGTATTTCTACAGAGATTAACAAAATAACCAGAGGTGCTAAAATGTTGACTGTGCAAGTGAAAGAACAGAAACACATTTCTTAATGAAGTCTCATATAAACAGATTAAACTGTATCCCACAGATAAATTAAGTGGAAAGCATGAGATGTAAACAGGTCCCTGCAGGGTGGGCTGGTAGGAACATTGGAATTTTTACACCCAACAGCACGAGATTTCACTTCGTTAAAGTATTGAAAGGGGACGGACGGACACATTAATCTATCGCAGGCTGGTACACTCAGTTTACAACTTCGTTCCTACCAGTATAAACACTTTGATAAATTGCCCAACAGTATATTAAATGAGGAAACCGTGATTCTATTCGTATGTTCAATCTAAATTTATATTTGTTGTAAAGAACCCATGTAATTTCATTTGTGAAAACGCCATTTACCTTTAATGCAGAAGAATAATTCACACGCTTACACTAATATTAATTAAAAACTGTAGACTGAACGTATGAACCAATTCTTATTAAATCCCCAAATTAGCAGCAAGATACATTCATATAAACTAATCATCAGAAATGTTACATGTCCTGAACAAGCATTTTTAACATTTTTCTTTAAGAAAAGTGGGCTTGGGTAGGACATCATTCCTACGCAAGAAGGGATGATGGATGGCCAGTGGTCAAAACTAACGTCAGTGCCAGTCAAAGGTGCTCTCTAGATTGTTAGATCGCAGGACTATGAGATGACAACGGTACGGGGAGGCCTTCAGACATCAGTGTATATGTTATTGCTGATGATATAAAGTTTTTAAAAAAACGTATTTCATATGAGGGAGGTGTCTTGTGCAGGCATTGGTGATGGGTCTGAGACAATGAGCTCACTATGCCAGAAAGCCTAATTTCAGCATGAGTGGCTACTTAAATTCTTATCCAAAACCTAGCACACCAGCAGCCCCAGCTCAGTGATCGGACGTGGTTTTACCCCCCAGAGCCTCATATTCAACAAGCAAATGGCATTAACGTGCTTAAGTTGACATCCCCTTTGCCATAGCATGGACCACCTTATGGAGCATTCTTGCTGCAGCACAAGCCAAATAGCTATTGCATTTTCCAAGTTTTCAAATTGCCAAGGATCAACAGGTCATAACGGGGTAGCAATTAAAGGCATAATCTAAGTGGAGGTGAAAGAGCCTGTGATACCCTTTCCAAGAAACACTGCATTTCTTGTAATTGTTTGCATAATAATCACATCCAAATTCGTCCGATTTTTAAACTACTGAATTGAACAAAATAATTATATGGTTCTTTCGGAAAAGTCACGTAGATAGAAAAAATAACAATACAATAAAATAAATTAAGTGAATAAAAATATCACGACGTTTCGATCGCAATACAATTGGTCGTCATCAGTAACATGAAAGAACCATAGAATATGCATTCCTGCAGTCACGAAAGTTCTAAGTCAAAATTTAACAAAATAATTAAAAACTAAAAGGCATGACTATTCACCTTTGCTTGTCAAGAGTAATAGCGTAAAAAAACCACTGTGCTGAATCAGCAGGATTTTGCTTGGACAGGCTGACATTGGGTAATGATTAGTACTGAAATAATTGTAGTGGAAGTGTTGTTCAAGCACATGACCTTATCTCACCAGCTACAGCATGTGGCAAAGCCAACAGGCTAATCTTCCTGCACGAACACAATCCAGATAATTCTGAAGGATGTGGTCATGGGGCAATATACTCACTATGATCACGGTTTGAGTTAGATTAATACGTAGGTTATACGCAGAGTTTTACAACATTCAATTTTAACATTTATACTCCCTCAAAAGGAAATTACAAAATGTTACTTTGGCATTTTTGTATGGCATGTGAAGTATGGTGATCAAAGCAATAGCCTATTAGCATAGGCATGTACAAATAACGACAATTTATTATGATACCCATAACATATACAATGTTGCTCATGGGTTTTTCCCCTTTTTTCTGGCAACAAAACAGGTGTTAAGATGTTAAAACACCAAACTGAAACCTTTTACAAGAAATCATGTCTACATTAACCACAATGCTTGTGGTCAGAATGCAAACAAAAAAACATACTCTGATAATATATGCATTGTCTTTGAAACTGATTGGTCCACACCAGAGACAGCTTTCTTTTGAGCCGCGTCTCAAACGGTGTTAGACCAGAGGATGCCAAATCTTGTATAAGAATAATGTCTGATTCACATATACTAAACGGCTACTATATATTAGTTAACTTTTACATGGCAATTTAAAACTGTTTCATCAGAAAACAATGAATTCAATATTAATTATTATCAGGCCCCATGGTGTGAAGTGCAATCTCCAACCCTTAACCACTCTATGTTCTATGAAGAAGGGCCATTGCTCGAAACGTCGCCTCTTGTCTACCTTTTCTTTTAAGGCCACAGTGCTATTGATATGTGTGTTGAGTTGTTCATATATACAAACGGTGATTGTTTCAGTGAAAGCCTAGCAAGTTCATGGAGATGTTGTGACCAATACAAGTCCTACATGCACATGGAGTTGTAGAATCTAATTGCAGGGGGTTTTGATGAAGGTTACACACACTTATTGCCCCTCATTTAGAGCTTTGTTTAAATTGGACTTTCAGGTTAACAAACAAGTAACAGTTCATAATGATGGAATGTTAGTGTATGGCTATATATATGAAATCTGCAGTATGTGTGTTCTATTCACGTTTTAAATTACTATTTTAATATAATTTTAAATGTGTTTTACGTTTGATATATTTTTACAATTTAGTGAGGTCCGTTATATTTTATAAATAGTCATCATTGCTATTTCAATTTAAACAACCCTGATATTTATATATGTAATGCATGCATGCCAGTTGATAAACTGGATATGTATGTATGCCATTGTGTCTATCATCATTAGCCGTAACATATTTTGTACGGCCCGTTATTCATCCGCACTAACAAGTGAGGTGAAGTATGGTCAAACGATCAAACATATTATGCTATCTAAACCAGAGGTATACCTTCACCGAGGATGTGTATTATATCCGGAATCTGGCGAAACATCAATTGAAAACCTCATCAATAGTTATCATTAAAGAAATCTTCAACAGCAAAGTCATTCCTGAAGATTGTCCACGTTTTAGTCTTGTGCGGATTGTCCAACTCATCCCGACTGAGGTATATCCTGAAACGTGACACGGGTATTCAATTGCATGCCTCTGCGTGCGCTGTCAAAACACCCACAGAGCAAGTCACAGCAGGTGAATTCACCACTGGCCCGTTTTCTGACAAACCCGTTAA